TATGGATTACAAAAGGTACATGTCAGCATTACATCACCAAACTAGACAAAGAACAATTCAAGAAGATAAGGGGACTCATAAGTCATAACACATATAAAATAAGCTTCTAATAGAAATGGCTAATAGAGTAAGAGACTAACGCATTAGTTCTCCTATTCTCTGGGTGATTCCATTACTACTGGCCAGTTTTATAATAACTTATTAGACTAAGCCCTGGCCACATATGTTCCAGTGTTACTTTGAATATACACAGAGGTCATAAAAAGTCACCTACACTTGTTTGAATGTGGAGCAGAGATGAAGTTAAGTTTTATAAACGCTTCATTTCACGCAAGAAAACTAGCTATATTGGAAACAAATGCCTCCAAATGGTTCCCAAACGTACAGTAAGGTTGAATCAAGCATAACAGTGCAACGTCAGTTCGGTATTGCAATGTTAACTGCCTCTCTGAATTTTAACAGAAAGTATAACAGCGAAGAAAGTTACCTGCAATGCGTATGTCAGACGGATGTTCTCTTCGATGATGTCTTGTCTATAGGATAAAGCTTTTGACGCAGCATCAACCAAATCTTGTTGCTGCTGATCAAATGCCTGAAAACAATGTCTTATAGAATTAGTCTGCTGTATTCCAAGATGGTATTTTAACCTGATAAGATGAAGATACTTACCATTCGCATATATGCAATGCGCTTTTCCAGAACATGTTTCTCATTAAGTATTTTGGCTTCCTACCAAGAAACACAAGACGCCGGACCAAAGACGGTCCAGTTAGATTTTGTGGATGCATGCCGAAAAGCGAAAACAGAGAACGTGGAAGGGGGTAAAAAAAGGTAAAGCAATATTTTGTAATGCAGTATGCATGATACCTTCACTGAGTAGTCAGCAAGGTGTCTTCTTAAATGTGCAATCTCTTCTTCATGTTCTTTGACCTTAACAAGAAGATCCTGTGCGAGTAAATATCTTTATCAGGAACATGAGATCCCATATGCGCGCCAGTACAGAGCAAGTGAACAATACATACCTGCTTCCAGATGATGTTTGAGCTCATCTCCATGCCTTGGCCAGCTAAACTGAGCCTAGAATCGTAGTCTCCTTCCCTGCGGTTCCTGGAATGAAATGCTATTTTCTGTATCACTGCTCTTCAGGCAAGAGATAAGATGCAGAGTGATGGGAAGAAAAAAAACTAAGCCGCACTGGTTAACATGCGATGGAGGTACCTAGTGGGTGAGAGGGATCGAGACGACGGGGTAGAGAAGTGAGACCGCACGCCAGCCTCAGCAGCGATGTGCTCCCCCGATGGCTTTCTGGACACTCGACCGGGCTGGTCGCTGTCCAGGTACTTTTGCTTCATCACGGCGTCGTGCAGCGTCTGCTCGGCAGGCCCATTCTGGTGACCAGGCAGAGTGCCCTGAGAGCCTGGCGGCGAAGACGAGGTGCCAAGCAATCTTTGGTCCTCCACCGTCTGATTCCCCACCGAGTCTCTGTAGGGCTCGACGGCCCGGTCCTGATCCAGAAGACTACTTGTAGAGGTTTGGTTTATAGCCTCGGACCTCTGGTAGCAGAATAAAAACATTACTAATATTTCTTATCTCAACATGATGAGAAAATATAGATTAACATGTAGATGCAGTTAAGCGGTAAGGATGAGGTAACTTGATAGTGTCCCTTGTCGTTTCGATGTGCAAAAAAAGAGGAAAAGCATGAGCAGCGTTAACTGGCAAGGTGGCAATACAGAGTGAGGCTTGCACAGGATGTATGAACAAACCGCAGGACACTATAAAACATTACTACTATTTCTGTGCCTCTGGTAGCAGATAAAAGTAACATCACTATTTCCATCTGCACATGATGGGAAGAAAATGCAGTAGTAATAAGCAGGTAGGCACAGACAGTTGCCTGATATGGACAACATTCTTTTATCTCCTCATTATGATGTGCACAAAAGGAGGAAGCCCATGATATGAGCAGCGTTAACTGCCTGACTGGCTGACTGGGTGGCAATACAGAGTCAGGCTTGCACACAATGTATCAAACAACTGAAAGGCATTATTATGCATACGTGCATACATACAAGTACATACATACAAGTACATACATACATACATACATACATACATACAAGTACATACATACATACATACATACAGAGAGGAACGAAATGTGCAGTGGTGAGAGCAAGTTTTGGTAGATCTGGCATTGGTGGAATTAACAAGGGCAGGAGGAGCGCAGGTGGCGGCGGTGGCATGAGCAAGGCAGAGACAACGGGTGAGGGATGGATGGAGGGGCTTACGATTGCGTCGAGCTCCCGGGTCTTGCGCATCAGCTCCTCCTTGAGCCGGCTGTTCTCCTCAAGCTGCGTTCAGTTGAGTTGGTTGGTGTTGTCATTAGCACCGCCGCACAGGAACAGGATTCATCTATCATTCATTCGTAGAGAGTGAAATGGGTGAGGGAGAGGGACCTGACCTGGTGTCGGATGGTGGCCTCGGCGTCCTCGACGGCGCGCATCACCTGGAAGAGGTTGTTGGTGCCGGCGTCCGAGGCCAGCCCCCGTGACAGCTCGTCGGCGTCGGCCATGGCGCGGCGCGGCGATGCGGACGGGATGGGGGCGCGGCGTGGGAGGCGAAACCCTAGGCTGGATGGATTCAGTGGAGAGGGGAGTGGGGAATGGATTCCAGAGGAGAATGATACGATGCCTCGGCCTCACATATTTTTCTCTTCTCTTCTCTTCTCTTCTTCCCGTTATTAATTTCATCTCATCCCATCCGCGGCCGGATCCAACAAAGATCCGCAACACTGAGTATATAATTCCACGCCTCTTTTTCAAACATTTTATTCATTTATTATTAAATTATATTATATGCTCCCTCTGATTCGAATTAATCAATTGACGGAACCTCCGTAGAAAATCAAATTCATATCAGATATAAAATTCTACCGAGGGAGTGTCGTTTTTGATACATACAGAGGGCGGAGCCGTTAACAGGGAATATCCGTCCACCTTCGACTCTCGCGCCCAAGCCTCTTTTAAGGCATCAACACTCGCATTTCCTTTCTCACGCGCATGCATTATGGTCAGAATCCTCTACATCCTCGCACTCCTCTCTCGCCCTTAGGGATGCCTCTCCAAGACCTGAACTCCCGCCTTCCTCCCTCACGCCCCTCACGGGGGTGAGGGTTCTCTGTCGATGTATCGATAGAAGGGTTTCCCTTGGACGCATGTGGCCGTTGGTTCTACAACTTTCATCCAACGTCATGTGCTTCCCTTATCCATCTCCCGCCCATCATTCGCACCTTCACGTCCACCGCCCTCAAGACATAATCACCTATTCTAACTCCTTTTGCATCCACATCTTCTTGGAGGCTAATCCCGGTATGCCCTCAATCGATCTAATACTGGTACGCCCTATGCCGCTTTGGACATTGTGAGATCATCATGGACCTTCACTCCATGGCGGCATGGAGGAGGCGCTCTGCGAGATGTCACTACCGAACCAACGAATCCCACACGAGAAAATGTGTGGCGCGCAAGGTCTTCTCGGCCCTGTCCCTCCGCCACACTTGTCTACCTCAACATATAGAAAAATTAAAAGTTAAAACATGATAAGTTTAGGTTGTGCTAGAAGCTACCGCATTCCAGTAATAACGGAACACAGGGCTTGCTTCCCAAGAAAGCAAAACCGCACTAGAAGGAAACTCATTATGGTGGATTAATTAGCTGCCTTACAATTTCATATAGCCATGCAGTTTCCTCCAATCTTGATACGAGTTTCCTTATATTATGTGGTACGGCACCTCCTTTGTGAGACCCGAATTAAAGAATCACGCGGACATCGGAGGATCGGACCAATTCATTGATATATATTACTTAACTATCTCACAAATACCCTAAATTACAATAGGAGGCAAAAACCTTGGGCAACTAGCTACATACGAGTTCTTTGTTCCTTCTTAGGTTTTACGGTATGATCCAAACAATAAGCAAGAAACTCATGATCATACAATGGTAAAAGAACATAAAGCAGACAATGCTTGATTTGAAAAAGAGAAACGGTAAGTAAGGGTGAGGGGATCTGAACTATTTGCTTCAATGGGTGCTCAGATTGGGTTCATACTTATTAGCAAGGGCTTTTAAGAAATGCTATATCCGAGAGGGAAATAGTATCCTTGGTGGACTAATAACCCACGAGTGTAGCGGACCACAATAGTCTTTGGGTGAAGTATAATTGCGTGGTCAAATCTGGCATATCTCGTGTAGGGGGTCCCGATCTGGCAGCCTTAGCTAGATGGTAACATGACAAAGGGGATGGGGGTACGAAGCAGAGGTGATCTACCGCGAGATGGTATGAGAATGAACGTGTCTCTACGGCACTGGCACCTCTGTTTATATAAATATTAGGGTGCATGTGGATATGGATAGGTCGGTTGTATCTAGGGGGGGGGGGTGTGGTGGACTGCCTCAAACCTTGGGGTGCACGACGAGGCTTCGGATCATTTCTACTTGGTACGTATTCTTGGACGAGACGGATGAAGGCCATTAGTTGATGGGTATTCTTGATTGTGAGGCTGACTGAAGGAAAAACTCCTCCTTACCGCTACATTTGTCGATGGACATGATACAACATGAGCTACTATACGATGAACGATGTTTATCCTCTGTGGGCTACTTTTGTGAACACCATCTCCAACCCAGTTGGCTAGAAAAAAAATTCCACTTTGTCAAAAACAAAACAAAACAAGAAGCGGCTAGAAAGGATGTTGAGAGGGCTTTTGGAGTCGTGCAGGCACGTTTTTGCAGTTGTTATAGAATTGGAGTAGGCGAGCCGTGCGGTTACTGTCCCCACAACCATCTTCTTCATCCCATCCCCATCGATTCCGTTCCGTTTGTCCCCGCATCCATCCATCCACCCACCCAAACCCTCGACGCGGAGGGAGCGGAGGCGACGGATGCGGGTGGATTCCAAGGTCGTTCCGCAGCCACCCCCAGATCTGACCAAACGGAATGGCGATGCGGGGCGTCGATTTCAAGTGGTACGCCGTCCCCTCTCTAACCCTCGCTCGCTCGGTTCCTCTATCCACTCCCCTTTCGATCCCCACTGTTTCTTTTTCTTCTTCTTATTACTGACTGATGAAAATGTATGTATGTATATGAATCTGATTGCTTGCTGCAGGTACGACGGCTTCTTCCTCTCCATGCTCGCCACCAGCGTGTACGTCTGAATTGATCTGTTTTCATTTCATTTGCTTCTTCAATTTTCTATGTATCTATGAATGCCTAAGTGTTTGCTCGCTTGCTTGCTTTGGTCTCATAATATAGAATCATCGTGTCCATCAACTGGAGGAGGTACCGCCTCTGCGCCCACCCGCTCCACATATGGATCGTCGTCGACTACACCACCGTCTTCGTCTTCCGCCTCCTCATGTTCCTCGACAACGGACTCGCAGCAGGGATGGGGCTGTAAGTTACTAACACCATATCATTCTTCACCTTTTCCTTCATGTACCACCACCATTCTCTTTCGCATGCCCATACCTAGTATAATTGCATACTTCCTAAGCTAGGAACTTAGGTTAAGATTCATCTACTCACTACCAGGACAAGAAGGGACATTTCAGTCTCTTCCTTTCTAAATCATCCAACTGAATGAATATTCTATACTACATTTCATCTTCATCCGAATACCTAAATCATACTACATGTGTTACACACACTGAAACCTCTATTAGAGTGAATGTGCAGTTTTTGGATTCAGTATAATGCTCTGCTTAGCCAAAAGAATGCAAAGCCTCTCGTGTTATTCCAATCAAGTGAATGTTCAGTTTTGGATTCAGCGTTATGCGCCACTTAGGCAACATAATTTAAAGCCTGTAATCTACTCTCCACACATAAATTTGGATAAGTAAAGCTGGTATCAGCCCGAATTGAATAAAAAATGCCAGCCCAAAAAATGAGCTACTAGTTGAACGTATTATGCGCCCCCCGACTTATTGGCATGTTCTTTACTTAAACATGGTCATAACCCTCTGAAACTAGTCTGCCAGTTTTGGAGGAACCCACAGTCCGTACTTTATGGTGACAATGACATAATTTATCAGAGCTAGTATTGTCAGTGTCTTCGAGCATTGTACACATTATTTTGTCCTAGTTACTGCCTTATTTTCCTTGCGTCACCACAGGGCAACACCGGCATTTTCCATAATCTGATTTTTTGGGTACCTTATAACTGTTTTTTATTCAAGCACAAGTTGGGCTTTAAACACTTTTGAAGATAATTAGAGTTACACTGTCGGTAGAATTCTGTGACAGTAGTAACAATATATGGAATAAAACAAGACATAATTACACAGGCATTCTTGTGGATTTGTGAGTTCATACTACGTGAGGTAGGTACTTAGGCTAAGATTCATGTACTAACAACTAGAGTAAGGGACACAGTAACAATTTATGGTGGCATCATTTACCAGAGATAGTAATGTTAGTGTCTTTGAGCGTTTTACACATTATTTTCAAACACAATAGCGCAACGCCAGTGTTTTGCATAATCTGGTTTTAGGGATGCCTTAATTTTTGATTCAAACAGAACTGTGTCTTCATATATTTCTGAAGAAAATAAGAGTTAGCTGTGGCCTGTGGGTGTTTATGGTTCTGTAATTAGAGTTACATCGTTGGTACAATTCCATGACAACAGTAACAATATTCAATAAAACAGGACATGGTCATTTCTTTTGATGCATTGGCACTCTTTAAGACAAAAACAATTTTCTACAACAGCAGATGGTACTCTGCCTATTGTTGGGGGTCTTATGTCTGTGTTTTAAGATTACTACCTCTCTACCTCTCTTTTTTCCGAGAGAACCGGATTAACTTGTAAACCTTGCTGTACATCAATGACATTTTTGTGTAACAAATCACAGGGATCTTGGATGGCAACAGAGATATACTCGTTTCTGTGGGAGGATAGTTGTTCTGTCAGTCCTTGTTCTTCTTCTGTACCCCTTCCTGTGGGTTTGGACTGTGATAGGAACATTGTGGTTTAACAGTGCAAGGAGCTGCGTAAGTTCTTTATCGTGGAAGCAAATTTTACCATCACCATACATGGAGAGAATTGCTACTCACTGCACATTCACCCCGTGTACAGCTGCCAGAGGAAGGACAAAAATGGGGCTTCCTGATATGGCTGCTTTTCAGTTACTGTGGCCTCGCCTGTATTGCATGCGTGGCTGTTGGAAAGGTACTGCTGCATAATTTGTCCATACAAAATCAAAGCTTGAATGTGATTGAAATATTATTGAAGTGCTGCTTATACATGATTATTATACAAAAGGTGTCAATATTTAGCTTTAGGAAGGTTCATGTCAATGAAAATCTACTGATGTAGCATATCTCTTCAATCTTCATAGACTATTCTAGTTAGTTTAACCTGCTTGTGTCTTACTTGGCTGCAGTGACATTCATGTCTATTGCCCTTTGAATTGAAGGTATTAAACTTCTGTTTGATGCGTGTACTGAGTTGCCAATTCGACATTGGAGTGTTCAAATTTGATTTGCATCAGTTAGTATCATATCCAGTTACTAAAAAACATGACAAATCTGTTGAGTGTTCTTTGTATTTGCACAGGACAAACTGAACCAGTGACCATGATTGTGCTGGGCTGTTATGATTATCAGTGGAACTTGACATTTTCCATGTTTTTATTTCCATGGCAGTGGCTAAACCGAAGGCACGCACTCCGCCTGAGGGCACAGCAGGGGATTCCGGTCTCTGAATACGGGGTAATGCTTCCGTTTATTTCTGTACTGACGTTGGATGTAGGAAGTGATCTGTCAACATTAGAAGCTTAAATGCATCAGATCAAATTATCACAGATCTTTATCGGTACTACTTCTGTTCAGTGTGTCCAAAGCAGTCAGGATTACCTATTATAATGCCTCGGTACACAAGTTTCAAATTCAAATCTACACTAGAGCTTGCTAGCTACCTTATTTCTAGCAGTAGGAAGGTAATATGGCGGCGATGGCGTAATTAACGTTATGTTGATGTGTGCAGGTTTTGGTTGACATGATTCGTGTGCCTGACTGGGCATTTGAGGCGGTCGGCTTGGAACTGAGAGGAATGGGCCAGGACACTGCATACCATCCTGGTCTTTATCTGACAGCAGCCCAGGTGAGTCGCTCACACAAATTAAATAGGTGTAGCAATTCACATGGACGAGAAGAAGAATGCGTCTAAATGTGCTATTTTTGTTGTGGTGCTTCATTCAGAGAGAAGCTGTGGAGGCTCTTATCCAGGAGCTCCCCAAGTTCATGCTGAAAGCCGTCCCAACAGACTGCAGCGAGTGCCCGATCTGCCTGGAGGAGTTCAAGGTGGGCAACGAGGTGCGGGGGCTCCCCTGCGCGCACAACTTCCACGTGGAGTGCATCGACCAGTGGCTGCGGCTGAACGTCAAGTGCCCGCGCTGCCGCTGCTCCGTGTTCCCCAACCTGGACCTGAGCGCGCTCAACGGCATCCGCTCCAGCAGCGAGATGCTGCAGCAGGACCGCCCCTCAGGGAGCAGCGGTGGAGAGGCGGTGGTGAGCCGGTACGTGGGGCCACAGCCGGGGCCGGGGCAGAGCTACCTGGTGCGGCTGCAGGGCCTGCTGCTCCGGCCCGTGGTGGGGCATCACGGCGGTGATGACGCTGAGGGCGGGCGAGCGGTGGTCGTTGATGGGGCTGAGGTGGCGGGCGGCGTGGTGGTGGTGGTTGAAGATGGGCATGAGCTGCGGGATCGCTGAGAGGGGGGTTGGAAAACATGTTTGGCGTGTAGATTACACATGTATGTATGTATGTATGGTTGTTACAAAGAGAGACTCGTTGAAAGATTTGTTGCTATAGTGAATGGAGAGGTTATATGTATGGTATGTGTAGGCTCCTGCTTTCTCTTTGTAGTAGTACTCCATCCGTTCCTAAATATAAGTCTTTCTAGATATTTACAATATGGACTATATAGGGATGTATATAGACACAGTTTAAAGTGTAGATTCATTCATTTTGTTTTGCACGTAGTCCATATTGAAATATCTAAAAAGACTTATACTCTCTCCGTTTGGAAATACTTGTCATCAAAATGAATGAAAAAAGATGTATCTAAACGTATTTTAGTTCTAGATGCATCCCTTTTTATCCATTTTGATGACAAGTGTTTTCGGACGGAGGGAGTAGTTTGTATGTGTAGGATAGGCGGTTGCTTCTGCTTGTTGATTTGTTTGTGATGGATGAGAAATATGTGTGGCATCGAGTTTTTTTCATTTTATAGGCGTCGGATAGGGGGTCTCGTCGAAGATCACCACCCCCTCCTTAATTGTCGGCGCCGACGGGCGGGGGTGTTGTGATCTGGATGACCTTCACTCGCCAGCGTTGAGAACCACCCGGAGCCACTGTCAGACTTGCTCATCTTTGCAGTGTGTGGACGATGGGAGTGAAGAAGGAGGGGGGTAAACTTTTCAGTCACCGTGTTACCACATTGTAGCGGCTCCGTTGAGCCCTCCGTTCATGTTTGTCTGATTGGCATGAATGCAGGTAGGCGGCTGTCCTCTCGTGCCCGATTCGAGAAGATGTGAATACGCGGCGATGCTTCGAGAGCTGAACACGTGATGAGGGTTTTGCCGGGGCCGCTCAGTTGGGTGCCTATGTGGTGCACATCCGATTCCGGACGCCCGCAAACCTCGTAGCACTTTGCTGCTGCCGGTTTGTTGGATTTCAAATATTCGGCCTGTTTTTGCAGTTGTTTGATGGACGGTGTTGGATGACAAAAAGTGTACGAGGAAGAAGAGGAGGAGGAGGAGGAAGAAGTTCCGAAAAAGAAAAAAGAAGGGACACACAAAAAAGTAATTTTTGGGTGGAAGGCAAAGAAAGAAGGCAGAGGAGAGGAGAGGAGAGAACAGAAGAGGATAGATAATCCAACTCAACTGCTTCTCAAACTGCTGCTGCTGCTGTAGAAGGGAGGCGGCGCCGTGTGCATCGCCTCCTCGACTCATCGATCAATCGAAAAAGAAAAAAGATCTCTTCTTGACCGCCTTGCTGGGGTGGGTTGACGCCCACACAGATCTCAAGCTCAGGGGGCGACTCCCGTCTCATCTCATCGGGGCTCGGGGCAGGTCCAGGGAGGGGGATGGACTCCAATCAGCCGTCGCAGCCGCCGGCGCCGGCGCCGCAAGGTCCGTCGTCTGCTTCTCTCTCTTTCTCTGCCCCCTCGATTCCCCAATTCGATCGCTGCTGGCCAACCCAATTATCCTGTCCTCAATCACCAGCAGCAGATGCCGCCGGCGCCGGCGAGAAGCAGCTGGCTTTCGAGGCGCCGCCGCAGCCGGTGAGGGAGGAGTACGTGCAGAACGCCGTCAAGTTCCTGTCCCACCCCAAGGTCAGGGGCTCCGCCGTCGTCTACCGCCGCTCCTTCCTCCAGAACAAGGGCCTCACCAACGACGAGATCGACGAGGCCTTCCGACGAGTCCCCGTACGCATCGCCACTCGCTCTTCCAATTCCCCATCTGCTACTCCTGCTTGTTCTACTAGTAGCTAACCTGCTCTGCTCTGCTGCTCTGCTGCTCTGCAGGACCCGCCGCCCACCACCGCGTCCCCTCCCACCCAGACCCAGTCCCCTGTCCCAGCCGCCGCCCCGCAAGCTTACGCGCAGCCAGCGGCAGGGCCCATCGTCGTCGCCGCGCCGCAGCCCAGGCTCACCTGGTACCGCGCCTTCATCGCCGCCGGGCTGCTGCTCGGCTTCGGAGCCAGCGCCGCAGTCTTTGTCAAGGTAGTATACTATACCTCCCCTCCTCTATTCTCTGCAGGTTTCAGACCTTCTTATCTCAGCCATTAACAGCCAGCTTACCTACCTGTTGCGCAGAAGCTGCTCCTTCCCAGGCTCAAGTCATGGATCCGCAGGGTCGTCGCCGAGGGCCATGAGGCGACCGAGCTCAAGGCCAAGATCGACGAGGAGACCAGGGAGGCCGTCAAGGCCTCCGCGACGGCCGTTTCCGCCATCGCTCAGACCAACCAGGAGTTGCTCGCTTCCAAGGACGAAGGTATCCTACCTAAACACTGCTCCTTCTTAGTTCATCACACTAGTTCAGTTACCTGCATATGCAACTTTATCTTCATCTCAGTTGATCACACCGTTTCTGTTTATCTTATATCAATTCTACTTATGTTTTGGCAGAAAAGAAGATACTTGTGACTTTGACGCAAGCCCTGGATTCCCAAGCAAAGGTGTTGAAATCATTGAGTGAGTCGTTGAGCCATAGCAGGGACTCCGTAAATATTACAAGGGAGGATAGGTTTTCGCACTACCGCCCACTGGAAGAGCATGCCCCCTCCACCACAAGGAATGGTTAGTATCAAACAAAATCTGTGCACCATTTCACTTTGTTGTACTCCCTCCGTCCGTAATTACTTGTCACGAAAATGAATAGAAACGGATGTATCTAGAACTAAAATACGTCTAGATACATCTATTTTTGGGACGAGTATTTCCGGACGGAGGGAGTATTTGTTTTAGGATGCAAAGTTAATCTAGTTACGGCAGGAACAATGCTGAAAACCTTAAAGACTATCTTGGCCCATCATTTAAAGGGAAGGCTTGTTTTGCTATGCTGTTCCACTTCCCATTAGCCAATGCCAAGCTTTATTTTTTCACCTGCATCACAAGATATCCACCTTATGTCGGCACAATGCTGTATAAATCCATCTGCGTCGTTTCATAATGCTGTATAAATCCACCTGTACCGTTTCATACTCCATTGTTCTTTCTTTGCATCAAACACGCTGCAAAGCTGGTCTAATTATAGAGGGAACAATGCTAAAGACCTTTGACTCTATGCTGTTCAACCTCCCATCCACCCTGTATCGGAAAGTGCACAGCTTATCTTGTGAAAATGTCACATAAAGCCATACGCATGCATGCATGCCCTAGATCAGACATATTTTACTATGACTGTCGACGCATATAACTATGAGGATCTGACCAAATTATTGTTTGTTTGACCACAATGTTTAGGGCCTGTTAACACTCCATGGAGACCTCCTCAGGTGTGCACTCCTTTTCTTCATCCTGTTATAACACTTTCAATAATATGCTCATGCTTTGGATATAACTGTCCGATTACTGAACTGCTTTTCCTTTTTGTTAGCAACCTAATATGTATGGTGCCCCAAACAGTGACTTCGGCTCAGGTCAGCATCTCTTGCTAAGATCCATTGGGTGCTTCCGTCTTTCTTGCTACTTACCATTGGGTGTTTGCTGAGCAGGGAGGCCTTCGTTTGCGCCAGCACCTACTGAACCTACCTCCGGGTCATATTCAAGATCTTATGTCGAGGTAAGAAGCCAATCAGGTTATATAATTAATACATCTTGCTTTTGCTGAAATATTGAATATGAGCTGGATTGACTCTTGAACACACACATTTGGTGTTGCATGATGCACATTATATTGGGGGAGATTATGTCATTTGCTGTAGCAAAACCTTCAGTCTAGCTTTGGATGATTTTCACACTTGAGTTAATTGACTCAAGTAAATTATGTATCGAACTTTACTTGCATATTGTCTGACCTGTCTTTGCATGACATTCCGACTTTCAGCAGACGGTGCAGCGAGGGGATAATAGATCTTCTGGGACCAAGGTATGATATGATGACCCTGAGCCTTATCTTTGCTGCAAACAAGAGTGCTTCTTTTTACTAGACGCAGCAGTGTTATAACAACTGACTAACAGTGTCCTATCTCTATTGCTAGACGCAGCAGGCATTGGAGATGCTGCAACACGCAGAACAAAAGCTTGCTTATAGATCCAACGCCTACTTGAGCGAGGATGGATCATACTCCCAAGCTCAGGACAACTATGCCCCCTCGTACCACCAGAACGGGAAGGCCCCTGATTTCCATGCAGAGGAGCCGAGGCCGCTGGCGTACAGCAGCGGTGTTGTGGAAAGGCCGCCGCCTCAGCGTCAATGGGTCCCCCCTCAGCCTCCAGGTGTCGCCATGCCAGAAGCGGCGGCTGCTATTCGTCAACAGAAGTCTCTTACGAAGCAACCGTCTAGCGACACGTCCGAGGCTGCTGGTGAGGTGCAGGTGAACGGTGCCGCGAGCTCGCCTTCCGTCGCCGCCGCTGAAGTGCCGGTTAATGGGAGTGCCGCAAGTGATGCTGGACGCAGCGAGATCGAAGAGCAGGCGGAAGCTGCTGCTTAGACAGCTGGACCACCCCGACAATCGCCACACAATCTAAAAGTTCCAAGCAAGATCCTGGTAGATGATATGGCAGTTTGTCGTAAGTTTGTGAACAATGTTTGGATTGCCGCTGCAGCAACAGCCACGGGGCGGCTAGAGATGGAATAAAAGAATAAGCCAGACTTAAAATCTAGCCATATGTGATGATTGTGAGTTTAGATTATGTATGTATACTATCTGCTGTACACTGAAAAAAACAAGAAAATATTGTTATGGTTGTGCCATCTGTACAAATCTGTTTGTGGATTGTTTGATTATCCAGGTTTTGCCGACTATCGTGTTGTGGGTCAGATATCATATTGCTTGTGATGCTATAATGCATTGCTTGTGATGCTGATATTGTTGTTGGTATGCATCATTGAGGGCTTTTGGTATTCTGTTGTGCATGCATCACCCAAGATGCCAAAATTCAGTTGGATCTTGAATGATGTGGTGACTGCTGTGCTGATGGAGATCCAGCCAGCAGCCTGACATAACCACTGATGTCAGTTTCAACAAACATCAATTTTTTTGTTTGCTTGGTCTTATTATCATCAGCCTGCAACTCTGCATAAAAGCTTCCTTTTTTTTGGTGCTGTTTGCTATCTCAGGTTGAAATGAAGATGGCAACCAGATCAACTCACTCCAGGATTGCAGTTTCTTTCTGGCCTATCAACCACAGATGAAAGGTACTTACAATGAAACCAACTGCATTTTATCATCATCATCATCATCATCATCATCATCATCATCATGCCAAGGGGAGGGATCAAGCACACCATAGCTTACTTCACTGGTAGCAGGTAGATATATATTACACATGGGCATTAGAAGCTCGATCATCGCCAGATCGTCTCTGCAGCCAGTATGGATCGACAGACACCGGAACATACCGGGTGAGAACTAGCAGCTACGATGATTCGAGCAGTAGCAGCACCTAGCAGGACTAGGGTTCATAATAATATACAAGAAGACCAACTGGATCACTGACTAAACTAACTATACTAGGAGGCAGGAGGAGCTTATCTCCATCTAGCAGAGCAGACCAGAGCATGGCTGGGCTGAGCTGAGATCAATGGTGATGAGCAGCAGCTTAGGTGGAACTAGACTAGAGCTAGTAATATACAAGAGCACCTAGATCACTAGCTAACCATCATACTAGGAGGCATGGAGAGCTTATCTCCATGTAGCAGACCAGAGCATGGCTGAGATCAATAGTGATGAGCAGCAGCTGAGGTGGAAGGCCCTGCCCTGCCGGCATTCAGCGCCCGGTCGACCTTGACCAGAAGGTGCTGCATCTCTCCGGCGAGGCTCCACGCGCTGTCCTCCTTGCCGAGCAGCGTTGGGCCGGTGAGGGACGCGATCATCCTCTCGAGGTTCTTCCGGACGTCCGTGAGCGGGATCTTTGGAGGGGGCGGCGGCGGGCGCAGGTACTGCAGCCGCGCCGCGGCGAAGTCGCCGAGCGTGTGCACGCAGCTGTAGGCGGCCTCCGCGGCGGCGCTGCTCTGGAACACGACGCGCGCCTGTTTCTTGGTGATCTCGGTGCTGGGCTCGATGAGGGGGCCGAAGCCGCGGAGTGTGGAGTGGAGCTGCTCCTTGGAAGGGAGCTGATCGGCGGCGGTGCCCGGGGCGAATTGCAGAATGAGGGCCACCGGCTTGCTGAAATGCTGCTGCCCGTTGACAGCTTTCTTGTTCTTGGCCGGCTTCTTGGGTGCGGAACTGGCGCTGCCGGTGCTGCTGCTGTGTGTGGCAGCGAGCTGAGCAGAGCAACCCGCGCCGGCGGCACTAGCAGGCGCACCCAGTGCGAATGTCACCTCCTTCTTCTTCCTCCTCCTCTTGCTGGGCCCAGTGCCCCCTAGTGCTGCATCTGCATTTGATGGTCCAGCGTGGTGGGCTTCCCTGTGGAGGGCGAAGAAGCCGAGGAGAAGGCCGGCGTCGACGCCCCCCGTCCCCGGGGGTTCGTAGGGGGAGGCGGCGCAGCGGTGGAGCGCGGCGAGCAGGTCGGGCGCGGCGACGTTGGCCTGCCGGAGCCGGAGGAGCAGCGCCGGCCCCTTTCTTGGAGGCGGAGGCGGAGGCGGGGTGACGATGCAGTCGTCGTCGTCGTCGCCGTGGAGGGTGTTGAGGATGGTGGGGGTCTCGTAGTCGGCGAGGTACCTGCTCCGCTTCCGCGCGCGCTTGGCCGTGGCCTTGTCCTCCACGGCCACCGCGAGCGCGAGGGTCTGGGCCCCGACGCCGGGCGCCGCCGCCGCGGGTGGGGTGTCCGTCTCCATGAGGGCGCCGGAGAGGGAGGGGGGAAGCGCGGCGGCGACGGCGATCTGTGGATCCGGTAGCTCCGGGGTAGGAGTGGGGCGCGGTTAATGCTGGCTGGGGGAGAAGAAGGGAGGGGAAGTGGGGAGGAGGAGGAGCTGACAGTGACAGTGGCTGCCTCCACTCCACTCCACTCGTACGTGCAACTCTTTCCGTGCTCCTCACAAGTGGAGCTCTTTCTCCTTGGTCTTGGGTGGGTTCAACCATGGATGTTTTCTTTACTCCTTTCCACAACACTACTTGTCCCTCCTAGTTGAACTTGAAGCTGGTTGAGCAAATGCAGGTAAAAAAGAAAATCATCATCTGTATATTGTTTGGTTGTCTGCATTGCAACAATGGTAAGATTAGGGCTTGATATTTGTGCTTCCAGAGGTGAGCAGACGCGTTTGGTTGCGTGCAGCTAGTGGCTTTGCTCACCCCTTTCAAACATGGTGGCCTCACCACCGAAATGCACCAGGCAGGTCACATACGAACAGTGCTTCATAAGAGAC